AGACACCATTGGTCATCCATTGCTCCAATGAGACAGGAATGCTGATTGGTTTGATTATCAGGTCATGGAGGCCTTTTGCCAAAGCATTTGTGTCTAGTGCTTGGAGGGGAAACTGAAGTGGGTAGGTTGACAATTGAAATGAAGATGAAGAACTGAAAGATATAGACTATTTTTCTGAGATAGTAGTTCTGAAAAGGAGTTAGTTGCCTGAAAGTCAAAGAGCTTTGAAAGAGAGTTCACTGCAAATGATGCAAGACTGAAACATAAAGACCAATGGAGATCAAGAGATTGAAGTGACAAAAGATAATTTATTTTATAGACTGATGAAGACTGCATTGCTATTGAAGAGAGAACCACCTGTAAAATATTTGTTTCATTTAAAAAATTTATTTGTTTCTTCCACAAGATTGAAAAAGGCAGGCACTCCCGACAGGGTCTTGATGTCCCAGCTACCCTCAACCAGCCCCTGATCATGTGCACACACATGCCCAGTATACTGAGAGGTCTCCAGCTGTGAATTCAGAATCTTCCCATGTGGATTAACTTCAGCATCTTGTGTTACCTCTGTGCAACTGCCTGGCCCCATAAAATGTTGGTATGCAAAGGTCTAAATGGCAGTGAAGAAAACCAGTTAAGTATCTGATCTGCCCAAGGACTTACAACTTCTAAGGGATGGAACTGGAAATTGATCTCAGATCTATCCAACTATAAAAGTTACTGCATTTCAGCTATAATGCACTGTGGGGAACTTGCATGTAAAAGTATGTTCTCAACAGATACTTTGCAAACTCCAAGAAATGTAACAGAGGCATTGTCCTTCAGCATGCATTTCCTCCTCTGAGTTACCTAGAATGCCCTTATGCCAGTTTATTGGGAATATTTTCATTGACCTTAAATCTATGATCCCATTAATTAATTGGTGACATGGTCCATGTTACCCTCTCTGATCTAGAGCCTAATGAATTGAATTCCAGTGTCTTACAAGGTACAATGATTCTATCTGACTTTGAATAGTAACAACAGCTGTCGACTTAGTTATATTCACAGGGTAACTAGAATGCACAGAGATGTCATGTACATAGAAATTATTCAGCTCACAATCTCAAAGTTTTGTAGTAAGCTTGTTGAATTTGGAGATGAATGATGTGGCATTGGGAAAAGCTGTGGGAGAAATATTCAATATCGGATGCTTTCTACAATTTAATTGCTGCCTGTTTCCTGGCTGAATTGAATTCTGGAAGGCATTTTCTTTTCACAGTCACAGAATACATTTCGATGTGCAGCAAATAACATGTAGCTCTGGGGTTTTCCCGGCTAAATACAATGAAAAGGATCCATTGAAATTTTATTGTCTGTTGATAAACAGTTTGAGCATTGTTGCAGTCATTTCAAATTAGATTTATTTTTAAATTCAGTTCCTGTAAATTGTACTGACAGTAAATAAAATCAGATGATTATTATAATTACTATTTTTAATTTGCTTAGGACTTGCATGCATGCCAAAGAGAGACATAGAGAAAGAAACAGAAAGAGGGAAAGTGAGAAAGCACTCTCGGGTGGATGGCCACAGCACAATATTTTTTCTTCCATTCTCCTCTTGGGATTCTGGGCAGGCGTGCACATGTGCCTGGGATGTCCTTCAAGCTGCCAGGTCTGAGACTCAAACCACACAGTCAGCCATGTGAGATTCACTTGCCTCAACAACTATACCACTGATTGGCCCTCAAATCAGATGATTATTCAAAAACAGAAAACATAAAGACATCAAAACTGTTTGTACTGCCCTTTTATGGACATTTTAGCACCTTGACTGAACCATGTCTCTTGTGAATAGTCATGAGACCCTTGGAACATAGCAAAATACTACCCAGGCCAATAATAATAACAATAATAATAATAATAATAATAATAATAATAGTAAGCTTCCAGCCGTGCTGACTGCATAGCTGTAGAGAATAACATATTTTAAAATCAAACTCTTAATGTGAATCCTTAGTGTGAAAGCCTTGTTGCTTTCAGAAGTAAATCAGAGTACAAATCAGGCTGTTTATATTCTGGAACACATCAGATTCATGAAAATTTTGACATACAAATTCCCAAAACACACTTCCATCTTCTTTCTTTCTATTTGTATTGTACTGGTTTCTACAAAAGTGTGGTAGATGCTTCGGCAATAATGCCAATCCCTGATCTTAGTGATGTATTTTCCTCCTTTCAGCGGTATTTTCTCTGAAACATGAAAGGTGATCTCCATACCTGGTGTGTTTCTATGTACGTCTTCGGGCTGGGGTGAACTGTGGGGGTACAAGCACTGCATGCTCTTTCTGTCTGTATTCCTGGTGCCTGACACAGAGTGAAGCTTCAACAGATGGTTATTTCATGGAACTCAGAACTGTGGATCTGCAGTGCACCTTCTCATTCTTTAAGCTCTCATCCAAATGGTAGCAACCCAGGAGCATGCCAGAACTCATAAATGTTAATAGTTAATGATGATTTTCTCATTGGAAAATGAGTGGCCAATGGGTCTAAGGTCTTTGTTCTTTTCATTAAGTCAGCACAGTAAGGTTAGCAGAAACATCTCATCTCCCTGGGACCTTCAGCAGGGAGCATGGAATAGAGCTGCCTGGTCTTTCTGAGAGCCCCACAATAGACAGCAAACATGTGCTTATTTTCTTGGACATGGGACTTGTGAGTGAGGGGCGATTACAGAAAAAGGAGGAAATATGACACTGGATGGTGTTAGATTGTCCAGACGTAACTTTATTTATTTTTTAATGCCAGAGTATATGTGCATGCACATGACAGAGAACTCTCCAACAGGGCCTGGTCACACTGCAGTCATTTTTCCTCCTGTTCTCTATCCCATTGGGATCCTGGGCCATGTGCACTTGCATTTAGTGTATTTTTTAAGCAGCCACATCTAGGGCTCAATCCATGTGAGATCTGACTTCCTCTAGAGAGCACGTAACTGCTGCACTCTAAGGCTGGCCCCCTTCTATGTTTGAAAATGGTCACATATCTAAAAGAAGTGTCCTAGTATTACATGTCCATAAATTGAACCAGCATCAGATGAGTTTCAAGTAGTATATGAACCCACCTTACAGGTATTGGACGTCTCTTCAGAAGTGTTGGTAGGCCCAAGCATATTGGCTCAGTTTCACTGGTAGTATATGGAGTTTATTTTTAAAAATAAAAGGAAATTCTCAGTAGCCTATTCTACTGAAGAGTATTTTAGCACCTTGACTGAACCATGTCTCTTGTGAATAGTCATGAGACCCTTGGAACATAGCAAAATACTACCCAGGCCAATAATAATAACAATAATAATAATAATAATAATAATAATAATAATAGTAAGCTTCCAGCCGTGCTGACTGCATAGCTGTAGAGAATAACATATTTTAAAATCAAACTCTTAATGTGAATCCTTAGTGTGAAAGCCTTGTTGCTTTCAGAAGTAAATCAGAGTACAAATCAGGCTGTTTATATTCTGGAACACATCAGATTCATGAAAATTTTGACATACAAATTCCCAAAACACACTTCCATCTTCTTTCTTTCTATTTGTATTGTACTGGTTTCTACAAAAGTGTGGTAGATGCTTCGGCAATAAAGCCAATCCCTGATCTTAGTGATGTATTTTCCTCCTTTCAGCGGTATTTTCTCTGAAACATGAAAGGTGATCTCCATACCTGGTGTGTTTCTATGTACGTCTTCGGGCTGGGGTGAACTGTGGGGGTACAAGCACTGCATGCTCTTTCTGTCTGTATTCCTGGTGCCTGACACAGAGTGAAGCTTCAACAGATGGTTATTTCATGGAACTCAGAACTGTGGATCTGCAGTGCACCTTCTCATTCTTTAAGCTCTCATCCAAATGGTAGCAACCCAGGAGCATGCCAGAACTCATAAATGTTAATAGTTAATGATGATTTTCTCATTGGAAAATGAGTGGCCAATGGGTCTAAGGTCTTTGTTCTTTTCATTAAGTCAGCACAGTAAGGTTAGCAGAAACATCTCATCTCCCTGGGACCTTCAGCAGGGAGCATGGAATAGAGCTGCCTGGTCTTTCTGAGAGCCCCACAATAGACAGCAAACATGTGCTTATTTTCTTGGACATGGGACTTGTGAGTGAGGGGCGATTACAGAAAAAGGAGGAAATATGACACTGGATGGTGTTAGATTGTCCAGACGTAACTTTATTTATTTTTTAATGCCAGAGTATATGTGCATGCACATGACAGAGAACTCTCCAACAGGGCCTGGTCACACTGCAGTCATTTTTCCTCCTGTTCTCTATCCCATTGGGATCCTGGGCCATGTGCACTTGCATTTAGTGTATTTTTTAAGCAGCCACATCTAGGGCTCAATCCATGTGAGATCTGACTTCCTCTAGAGAGCACGTAACTGCTGCACTCTAAGGCTGGCCCCCTTCTATGTTTGAAAATGGTCACATATCTAAAAGAAGTGTCCTAGTATTACATGTCCATAAATTGAACCAGCATCAGATGAGTTTCAAGTAGTATATGAACCCACCTTACAGGTATTGGACGTCTCTTCAGAAGTGTTGGTAGGCCCAAGCATATTGGCTCAGTTTCACTGGTAGTATATGGAGTTTATTTTTAAAAATAAAAGGAAATTCTCAGTAGCCTATTCTACTGAAGAGTAATCCAGTTGAAGAATAATGGATTACTCTTTGGAGGAAATGGTTCTATTTTCCTGCAAGCAGAAGAGTTGATGAGAATCTACCACTCCCTCTAGTGAGCAGTCCATGCTTTCCTAGCCAGGGGGATTGGATTTTACCCCTCTTGTGTCCCTGGATATTGAGTCAATTCAGTGTTAGCCTGTGAAGTGTTCTGTCAGCCTTACTCACAGTCCTTCACTTAATACAGGTGTACAGTGAACACTTCTTAAGTGTCAACAGTGTGGTTTTTCTCATTCTTGTTTCAGGAGGAATGAATGCAGTTGCAGTTCAGTGTGGTTATTTTTTTTTTCCCCAACAGGTTCTTAGCATGATAATCAATGCAGCCTACAAGCCAGGAAGGGTATTAAGAGAATTACAACTTGTGGAAGATCCACACTGGAATTTTCAAGAGGAGACGTTGAAGGCAAAGTAAGTGCTTTCAGTTATGGAAGACAAGGGTTGTTCTAATACTTCACCTGCTATTTTGAAACTCTTCATTCCTCTTTTGAGTTAAATGGAAACCCACTGAAGGATGGTTGTTCTGAAATTCTATGTACTATCTATAAACCTACTGGCATTTTTGCTCTATAGGTGCCTTAAGATGTAAGACTTCTAACATAGGGATTTGCTTACCTAGTACTTGTTTATGGTAAACATTCAGAATAAAAAGTTACTGTTTCTCAGGACCAATACATTATTTGGTCAAAAAGAGAAAAAAATTACAAATAAAGGATATTCCTTATCATTATTACACTGTGTTCATTAGCAGGTCTTCAATATTTGTGCCAATCGCAAGAGTTCTCTCCTCTGGGAGTTGGCCGTTTTAAAAGATTACAGAATCGGTACATCTGTTTGAGTTGAGTTAAGTAAAATGGCAATGGCCTCTGGGGCACTTTCTTTTATTTGAAATAAGCTAATTGGAAAAGTGACATTTTTGCTTTGCTTTATGTTTCTTGACCTCTGATAATCAGAGCAAGAACTGGATCAATGTATTTGAACTCAGTTGTTCAGGCAGTACACAGAAAAAGAGCCTTTTCTTAAGATAACTTTATCTTGAGTCATTGCTTAGTGTTCATTTATGTTTTTCAAATAAAAAGCTCTTACTGATTGACTTCCTTTATAATGGTGTCCTAAAACATCACTTAGATGTAACATTTGGGAATGTTACATTATTTTTTAAAAGAGTAAACCACTTTTCAATGGCTGAGATATGTCTGTACTCTTCTCTAAAGGAGGTACCTGTGGACCAGCCAGTAGTATGGGGATTAAGGTGGGTCCCACATGGTCCACTATGCAGTTTGAGTGCTGGACCCTGATGCTTGAAAAACATGCCAGGCACATATATGTGCCTGTGTGTCCAAAATCCCAAAAGGAGGGACAAATAGAAGGGATTGTGGCATGACCATCCCCCAAGGGAGTGAGTTCTCACTTTCTCTCTCTGTCTTTCCCGTGAGCCTACATGCCCTCTGACAAATTTAAAAGAAAAAAAAAAAAAAGAAAAGAAGAAGAAAAAGAAGCAGCAGCAACCTATAAAAATAGAGGAATATTAAATGCATATGACCAGTAATATTTAACCTGTGGGTAATTCACATCCATTGGCAGTAATTGAGATAATATGCTACCGTTCAACATTCATTGTCAGCAGTCCACTCAGCATGCTCGGTGTCTCTTTTGAACAACCCTGTAACCTTAGATTCTATAAAAGTCATTTGTGGTCTCATGATAGTCTGCCAAATCACAAAGGTTAAAGAGAATATATGTAAATAAAATGGCATTATTTGTATAAAATGGTATACCAACGAAGAGCCATACTGCATTTCATCATTCTCTTCTTGCCTATGAAATATTTAAATGAGATTCACTTGTACGTCAGAAGAAAACTGAAACAAGGTTTTTCCTGTTTCATATTTCCTATTTTTCTACTTTATCTCCAGAGGGGTGGGGAGCATGGAGAGTGATCAACAGCAGTAGGAGAACCTTTTTGTATAAGGTCATATTATTATTAGATTGTCGGGAAAGTCATGATGTATTTATTCTATGCAAAAAGACGTCATGATTTTCCCAACAACCTAATAGTTGTGGCAGACTTGAGCAAGTGTTTATACAGAGAAATTCTTCTTAAGACTTTCCTGTATAATTCGATAGGACGAGACTTTTTAAAGTTCATGGAAAAATGGAATGCCATGACAGGTTATTTTGGTGCAAAAATTTTTTAAATGTATGCATGATTTTTTTCATCATACAATTTTTTTTTTGAAATTATTGAAGACCCCATGGATAGCTCACATAACATCACCATCTACAGTTGTCCATTAGTGATTTTTTTTTATTAAGTCAACAATCATACCTTAATCAATATGGAAAAAGTATAAAAATTTGAAATCCCATTAAAACTCCCCCCATCCCTAAAGAGGCCAGCAATTTGGTCCTGATTTCAAAATGACAGGGAGAGTTTATTTTGCAAGTGTTTGTACTCATTTTCATGTTACTAAGTCAATCACAGCTTTTATTAAATCCAGCCTGATACAATCAAAACAGAGATGGCGAAATCCAGCCCTGCTGAATTGTAAAGGCAATGTATTACCTATTATATCAACTATGACAGTCAGTTCCATAGCAAAATCTTACACAGCAGCTTATAATGAGAAAATGTCTGTCTGAACTGGGTTTCAGCTGTGCTAGATCACAGAGGCGTCTCAAAGCAGCTGCTAATGATGACAGGTTTACAGTCAGCGGGAGCTTTCCTGTTACAATACTACATGTTGAGTCACCTCTTGGCTTCTGATGTAAATCGACAACTTTTTAGATCTTGACAACTTTGCTGTTTTCTTTGGTGCAAATGGGAGGAGAGAGAGCTGGCTTCTTCCCATTTAGCTGAAAGGCAGAAAAATTTTCTGTCATGAATAAATTAACTTAGCAGAGGGGAGACCTGCATTTAAGCCTTTCATTTGTCTTGGTTGGTTGTGAGAGCTGAATTATATTACAAAGAGGATTCTATGAAGAGAGGGCATGAGATTGTCCACAGGGCAGTGTGATTGCCATCACTTACCAGTTAGGGTTTCTGATTTTTTTTTTCCACCTCTGAAGAGTGAAAAAGGATCAAGGTGCTTTTGCAAAGGTTTTGACCTGTAAATGTAATAAAAACTAACACCACCGTCTACAATTGTGCCTTAGTGATTTTTTTCTTATTAAGCCAACAACCACACCTTTATACCACTAAAGTTATTATCGCAATGTTTGAACAACATGTAAGGAGTCCATTATATTATTAGCCCCCAGCATGTATTGAAAAGCTAAAATGTACTGATTGTAGTGCCAAAAGAAAAATGGATTCGAATGTAGTTCATTTCACCTGTTCTGGAAGAGAACTTTATTTTCTGATGAATTAAAGTATACTAGGTTAACTACATTATTTTGAATTTCAAGTGAGGGAATTTAGGCTATACTTTAAGGAGACTTTTTTAGGAAAAAAACCCTCTAACTCTATGTGTCAAGAGACCTTTAAATATGTTTTCAACATATTATAGAGTCTTCTTGAGGAAAAAGAAAAAAGGCTGTGTTAACTCATCTTTGAATGGCTTTTGTGATAATATTTATAAAAGCTGGGTGAAAGCTTAGCAGATTTTCCAGTCCTTCGTTACAGTTATTCAGAATATTTAAAAAGGAAATATCCTGGTATAATTTCAAGCATATTAGACTTCTTATCAGTAAGGCAGAGGCAAGGACATAAAAATCAATCTTTACTTTGAGGTAAGTCATGCTCAGCTTTATGGAAATATTACAGTTCTTTTTTATAAGCAATGAAAAATTTTGTATTTTATTTATTTGACTTTTTTTTAAGCCTTTTACTGAACTCCAGGTCCTATGAACAGGAAGACATACTGTTTGATTTTAAAGTGATTTATGCGAAGGGCCAGTCCCATTGTGCAGCGGTTAAATAGAGTGTATTGGGGGATTGGATTCCCACATGGTCAATTGTAGTTTGAATCTTGGCCCCAGTGGCTTGAAAAACATGCCAAGTACATGTGTGCATGTGCGCCCAAAATTCTTACAGGATGGAGAAATGGAGGAGAAGGAATTGTGGCATAAACACCCTATCAGGGGGTGATTTTCCTCCCTCTCTCTGGCCAGCATATGAATCCTCTGGCAATTAGAGGGAAAAAAGTTATTAATGTAAAAAAGAAAAAGGATTCCCAAACTGAGAAACTTTTCACTGAAAAAGGTTTTGCTTGTTTATTTGTTAATTTGTGTTTACCTTGCTCAGATATGTGCAGCTTGCTTCTCCTGGAAAAGTGAACTTTACATTAAGCAAGCAGATGAACCAATCTGCGTGTGTATATATAAATCCGTCAGACAATGGAATGGTGTTTCTGGATCATAGACCAGTTTAGGATGTTCTAAATGAGGCATGGTTTTTTCTAAAATAAACACATGTAATTTAGTGCATAGAGTTCCCATTTTTTTTTTTTTTTTGTATTTTGAATTTTTTAGTTTTTGCTGTAGGACATGGGTGTTCACCAGACAGAGAGAAATCATCCTGCAGAGGGATAACCATGCTGCTATCCCACCTCCTCTGTTCTCCTCTCAGGAGTTTGAGCATGCATGCACACACAGCGGGTATGTTTTTTTAAGCCAGTGGTCCAGGCTGGAACCACATAGTCAGCCATGTGGACTCTAGCCTCCTTAACCATCACGTACTGCCTGTCCTGAGTATCCATTTCCTTAAGGGCAGAAAAGAAAAGGAAGAGAGAAATTTCTGAGTAAATAAGACAAAACAAACAAACAGTGAACAATTATACTGATCCTCATGTCTGAAGATCAAGAGTTTATTTACACACATAATATGCATACGCATAACATGCATACACGTAAGAGTGCTCAGTGATGAGTAACTCAAAGAGGTGGTTAAAACTTGGGGCTTATGTACCTACCTTAGTAGGGGAAAAGGGGAGAGGAGAAAATGCTTTTATGGGAAGAACACATAAATTTCTTGGATAAAGACAAATTGCCTTAGGAGAACAAATGGGAAAGAAGAAAGTTTGTGGTGCTTGTTTATGCAGGTACAAGTGGTCTTTCCTTCTGCTTCATGGCCGTGAAACTCCCTTAGAGAGGGGATATTTATGGTAGAGTTAGTCTTTTTCCTAGGAATAGAAGCTGCCCTAAGGAGGGAATTTATGTCAAGGCCCATCTCTCAGAAGTTTCTGCCTTCAGACAATGGAAACCTTCTTCAGACAAAAGGCTTCTTTCTGCCCCTGTTGAATCTCAAAGTTCTTCAGCTTAAGTCAGTCTTTCTGTCAGCACGGGGTTTCTGAGTGAATCCCCACCTTACCAGCCAGGAAGAGCCTTTCTCCTGTTTCTCTGTTGATCTGCCACTTCCTTTACTATTGCAAAGTGTGCTTCTGAAACCAGCATCAGCCTTAGCCTCTCCC